TACCTACTTTGGCTAACTTACCTATACTATTTTAGAGAAGACAAAATTGCATCTTTCTAGTTAGGATGCATTATTAACATTATTACAAATAAAGGAAAGAATATTTATATTTTAAAAATGGGATGTGGAATCCGAGCCCCTTGAGACTAGAGGCACCTGTTCCGCGGAGCCGCGGTGTATACGCCACTGGTTAAATAGACGCCCCAATCCTTTTGATGGTTCGCCAAAGGCTCCCGAAAAAACGGAGACAGCGCCGTCCGGCTGGGCATAGGCTCGGCTCGAAGCTCAGACCATAGGCTCAGACCCCGTCCAAATATGACGAGTCAACCTCAAATCCGCTTGAGGTTGACTCGTCTCGGGTGTCTCTCGCACTCGTCTCGACATATTTATACGCAGCTTTACATGTTCGATTAATTGTATAGAATGTAAATTTTTATTGACTTTAAAACAAAAAATAATAATTCATTCATTCCAATGACTTCCACTCGCGGGTAACTTCAACATTCATCGGTTTTATCAAAATCATAATTCACTAACTCACAACTAGGGATGGGCGATAATGGATTTTACCTATCGATCAGTTATCGCAATTCACGTATCGATATGTCGATAACTATATAGTATATAGATAGGTGTATATAAATCGATAGGAAACGATAAATCAATAGGTAGCGATATATCGATAATTTTGAAGTCAACTATTGGTATTCGATATATCGATAGTTATCGATATATCGGAAATAAATCCCATCCCTATTTACGACTAGGGATGGACGATAATGGATTTTACCTATCGATAAGTTATTGCAATTCACGTATCAATATATTTTAGTTATCGATATGTCGATAACTCCATATACCGGGTGCACCTCAAAAGTGGTTCACCCCTATAACTTTTTAATATTTTCAGATAAAAAAACGAGATTTGGTATGTTAGTATATGACATAAATTAGGATTGATTGACGGTATTCAATTGTTTTTGGTCGCTTCCTGTTTCACCGGAAATGACTACAATTTGATTTTTAAATGCAACTCTCAGTATTTTTTTTCTTTATTCCATAGAAAATATCACTCTGAATAGAATGACATATCATATGCCAACTTTTGATATTTTCACATATGGTTTATTTGAAATTATAACACTCGAAATACCAAGGTGTGGTATCAAATTATTCGTAAAAAATGCTTTTTCCAAACATGCTAATGAGCTGCCCTCGTATAATTTGAAAAAATTAAGATATGAGTAAAAATACGATTTGAGCATTTTCTAACTGGTCAGGACAAGACACTAAAAACATTAGACAATCAAATCTATTTTTTCAAGGCTCCTTGATTAAGAAATAGTGTTTTTAACATAGTCATGGCACTCTAGATTGAATAGTAAAATACGATTTTTTATTAAGCGCAAATGTCAAAAGTTGACATATGATATGTCATTCTATTCAGAGTGTCATTTTCTATCGAATAAAGTAAAAAAATACCGAGGGTGCCATTTAAAAATCAAAACTTGTAGTCATTTCCGGTGAAACAGGAAGTGACCAAAAACAATTGAATACGTAAATCAATCCTAATTTATGTCATATCCTATATACCAAATCTCGTTTTTTATATGAAAAAATAAAAAAGTTATGGGGGTGAGCCACTTTTGAGACGCACCCGGTATATATAACTATCAATAACTTGATATATTGATACGTATCCATAACTTGATATATAAATAACTCAAAAGATCAATAACTATCAAATTACCGATAGCTACCGGTTTATCAATAAATATCGATAGATATCGATATAGCGATAACTTTAAAATCACTTATTCTTATGGTTGCGAACTATCGAGAACTATCGATGATCATAAATGAATCGAAAATATATCCCTAATCGTAAGTATCCAATATAAAAAGCTGTCTTATCGACATATCTATAACTATCTATATATCAGTATACTCGATAGTTATCAGTAACCGATACTTTATAGTATCCTTGTATATGAATTTTTAAAAGAGTAGCTCAACCTAAGACGTTTATGGATGTAAAGCACCAGATGGCGGGGCGTATTTCACGGTCTTTTACTGCAGAAAACATTTTTTGTTACTCTGAAATTTGAGAGCGATAGTAAGAAACGGAGAAAATAAAATCGATAACTTTCGGACTGTTCCAATTGGTTACTAATAAACTAGATCTGAACAAAACCAATTGTAGTAAATGAACAGGATGAATAAACAGTTTTGGTTTATACTAATATACCAAATCTCGTTTTTTTATCTGAAAAAATAAAAAAGTTATGGGGGTGAGCCACTTTTGAGACGCACCCGGTACATATAACTATCAATAACTTGATATATTGATACGTATACATAACTTGATATATCGATAACTCAAAAGATCAATAACTATCAAATTACCGATAGCTACCGGTTTATCAATAAATATCGATAGATATCGATATAGCGATAACTTTAAAATCACTTATTCTTATGGTTGCGAACTAATGAGAACTATCGATAGTCATAAATAGATCGAAAAAAATATCCCTAATCGTAACTATCCAATATAAAAAGCTGTCTTATCGACATATCTATAACTATCTATATATCAGTATATCGATCAATATTATTATCAATAACCGATACTTATATAAATTATATCCTTGTATATGAATTTTTAAAGTAGCTCAACCTAAGACGTTTATGGATGTAAAGCACCAGATAGGCGTATTAGTATTTCACGGTCTTTTACTACAGAAAAACATTTTTTGTTACTCTGAATTTTGAAGCGACCAATAAAAACAGAGAAAATAAAAATCGATAATTTTCGGACTCTGCCAATTGGTTACTAATCGCCCAGATACTTTTTGTCTATTAGATATGGTATAAAACCTGGTAATTATACAATTCGACCATTGTAAATATCCGACAAATTCCGCAAGGCCGACGAGGCCGATGCTTTTCACTGATAAGAAAAAAAATGTTTGTTTAGATAATTTTCGAGATATTTTTTCTTTCTGAATGGCACATTTTTAAAATATTTTATATTCTTTGTCCGCTTGATCTATTATATTGGTCGCACGTATCGAAGTTCTGTTTCTTCTAGTTTTAAAAAATGTTCTTATTTCTTTGTAGTTGTAGTGGTTGTAGTGTAAAATTAGATTAATTTTATTAAGTATAATTATAATGTTTAGTGTAGAATACCAGAAATAGTTTAGTAGTGTTTTTAAAGTTTATTATTTTGTAGTTATAAGTAGTAGGTGAAGGGATAATTTGGTTATTTTTTCTTTTTGTTTGATTAATTAGTAAGTTTGATAATTTTTTCAGTGTAGAATACAAGAAGTAGTTGTGTAGTTTTTTTATAAGAGATTATATTAGTTTATTTTGTAGATGAGTAGTAGGTGAAGGTATTTGGGTATTTTTTCTTTTTGTTTTTCTTCTAATTGTAGTAATTCTATTAAGTATTGTGATAGATACACTATATCTTCCTTCAACTTCGTTGAAAAGTGCGTTATCATATAATTTTGGTTTTCTGGTAGTAGAATCGAAAAAAAATCTGATCAAATTTATTTTAAATTAAATTAATCAAGTCTTATTAATCAAATTAATCTAGTCAAATAATAATAGTTAGTTTCTAAATACTATACAGTGTGAGTTTCCTACGATGTTCTCTGTGGGTATCTCGGAAACTACTGGAGATAGAGAGTCGGTTAAATGGGGAAAGAATTGCAGTTTTATGGGGTCATAAATATTTATGAGCATATGTGCCTTTCGGATTTTTCGGAGAAGTTCAAGGCTTATTAGATATTTCACAAATTTTGGCTATTTTAAAACTTGTCTCTAATTCCATTATAGTCTGCCGTATGATCGAATAAAAACGGCGTCAACGATGGCTATGAAATGAAGATCGTTGTCATTTTATATGTAAAATTATATGGGAAATATCATCGATCGTCATTTCATAGCCATCGCTGACGCCGTTTTTATTCGATCATACGGTATTTCAGACAAAAAGTTTTCAGATAAAAGTTGTAGATAATCACATACCTAATGAGTTTGTGTTTCCTGTTTTTTTTTCTAAAGCCTGTCATTTTTGACATATGACACAAACATTATGTTTTTTTAAACGGTTGTTGATTATATATAGTTGGCCATGACTTCATAAAAAGCGCCATTTTTTTACGCTTTTCAGCGATATAGGTATAATATGTTTTTTTCGAAAAATTACAAGTTATAGCCAATTCTTTTCTTTCTTGACTAATTTCCATACCAATAATACCATGCCAATTAGTTGGCATCAAAAATGTAAAAAGTTTTATGTTTTCAAAAAAAATATCGTAAAATTCGTAAAATACTCAATTTAGAATAAAATAATCTAAGAATGAAATGATTCTTTTATAAACCTGCATTAAATCAAATTAAAATAGGTATGCAACTTTTTTTTAAATATTAGTCAACAGCAATTAGCATTATCATAAATTATTATAAATAATGTACCAACATATCGAAATAATAATTTCTTTGTTAATACGGTTTAGAATTCTAAACCGTATTAAATAACAGGCAAAAATAATTTACAATTTACAATAAAATAAAAGTTTCGTTTAAATTTCTTAATCATCTGATCACTATTAAAGTTTGCAGAAACCCGAGCTATATTATTACATTACTCTGAGGAAAATAACGAAAATAATCGATATTTTTGACTCCGCCCCGAAAGGTTCACGATTTGTCCTCCAGTTGGCAGCACATTTTGTCTAGTCGGTTGAACAACTTTAAGAATATATAAACAAGGATTATATCAATACATTGATAGGTGACGATATATCCGTAGGTATCGATATATCGACAGGATATCGATGATTTTGAAGTCAACTATTGTTATTCGATAAATCGATAACCATCGATAGTTATCAATATCGGAAATAAATCCTATCTCTACTTACGATCACTAGGCATCATTATTTCAAATAAAGTTAATATTTTAATTATAGACGCAAATTTTTACTTACCAACCATTCCATCTTTTCGAGATTCGGACTTACAACTGCTTTAATTCCATTATGACTCAAGTCAAGCATTTCCAAAGATTTTGCACCTTTTAAACCCGCTGCTTCAATGTTTTCTATCTGATTATGGCTAAGATTTAACATTAACAAATGTTGTATACTAACAAAAGCGTTCGGTGCTATTGATTTAATTTGATTTTCTTGTAACTCCAGGATTTGAAGTGATGGAAGATTAACAAAAGCCATTTCTGGTATATTCTAAAAATAAAAATGAAATAGCAAAACAAAACAAAATGTTATCAGCAGGGGCGGATACAGAAATTTATTTTAGGGGGGGCCCAAATAAAAAATAATGCAAAATATGCCTTTTAGGGCGCCATTTTTAACCCAAAAGCCTAATATTTAACCCAATTTACAGATTTTAGAGGGGGCCCGGGCCCCATGGGCCCCCCCTCTGTATCCGCCACTGGTTATGAGCAGATGGTTAAAATCTGTTTCTTTTTACCGGCACAACAAAACATGTATCCAAAAGTATATAAAGTATGTCCAACGAGAGACAGTAATTGATATTGACTGCCATTCCAATTCGCAGGTAAATTGTATTTTCTGTCATTTTTCTACGTTGTCTGTCGAAATCTTTCATGACTCGTTGGACATACTTTATGACTGTTTATTAATGGTTTGGTAAAAGTTTGAATTTTTTAGAACCAATCCATGTTTCAGACATAAAAATTTGGTCACTGTAGAAGCGTGGTCTGGATTTTAACGTACAAGACAGTGATGAAGACAGTTTAATGAAAAATCAAATGTTGTAACATTCTTCTAATGTGGTATTGTGGCCCAAGTAGACGCGTACGAAAAATCTACATACAGGGTTGTTCACCACATACGACACGGAGTATTGTAGCTAAACGATTATATTTTTACAAATTTCAAATTTTGGGTTTGATGAAGGACTATTAGAGGTACAATTTAAAAATAATTTACAAGATACAGAGTGTCCCAAATAAGTAAAAAATATCGAAGTTGTATTTTTTTAAATGGAACACCCTGTATATTATTACATTTTTAGTTTCTACGATTAAAATAAAGGTAAATTTGATTAAGGTTTATTACACTTAAACCTTACCGTTTTTGAAATATTTTCAATTTTGTGAAATTGCAGTAAAAATTTTAAGGCTTCATTTCTCCAAGGGTATCAAAGTTTTTAATACTAAATATTTACTGAAGTTTATTTATTGATCAGTTATTGTGTTGGAAAAATAAAAATAATACTACCTTATACAGAGCGTCTAAAAATTTATTTTAAATAATTTATAGCTTTAAACGCCAATAACTTGTTTAATTTAAATGGAACGCCCTGTATATTTTAGGAGAATCAGATGCACAATTTAACTGTCTATCAAATTGTATTATACCATTTTTACCTATCCCTTCAAGTTTTCGTAGAAAATGCATTTTCTTATAATTTAGACCTCATTCATCAATATACCCATGGAATATTGACATTTTATTACTGACACCCATAGAATATTGACATCATATATTGACATTCTAGTAATATTATCGTTTTGCTAAAAACAATAATGTTGTATGCAAAAAGAAAACTATTTAAATCTTTATAAAAGAGTATACCATTAATTAAATATAGCACCATTATTTCCGCCCATATACTAATTAATTACATACTTAATTGTATTCGTTAATAAATTATTCTAAATAAATGTGGATTTGAGTCAGAAATCAATATAATAATAAGTTATCAAAATTAAAGTCTCTATTGTTATAAATAAGTAATGTTATAATATAATTTCGATCTGTTCGGTTTGATTTAATGACGCCATTCTGCCGAAACTGTGATACTGTTGTAATGGGGTTTTAAATTCCTATTAGCTACTAGTAATTTAAGTATACAGGATCGGTTATAAAGTTGTGTCACATGAAGCTTTATTTTTTTTTAAATGAAACCCCCTGTATATTATTGCATATTTCAATTTCTTCCTTCAATTTTAAGCAACTAAGCAATACACAATGTATAAATTGAAGAATTGAAATGTTAAATGAAAATTTGGTAATTTCCAGACTTGATATACTGTCATTTTATACAGGGTGATTGATAAATAAATTCTAAATTACAAGAAAATGCATATTCTACGAAAATTTAAAGGGATAGGTAAAAAATTAAATTATGCATCTGGTTCTCGTAAAATATACAGGGTGTTCCATTTAAATTAAACAAGTTATTGCCGTTTGAAGCTAATAATTATTTAAAATAAATTTTTAGACACTCTGTATAAGGTAGTATTATTTTTATTGTTGCAATACAATAACTGATCAATAAATAAACTTCAGTAAATATTTAATATTAAAAACTTTGGTACCCTTGGAGGAATGAAGCCTTAAAATTTTTACTGCAATTTCACAAAATTGAAAATATTTCAAAAACGGTAAGGTTTAAGTAAAATAAACCTTAATCAAATTTACCATTATTTTAATCGTAGAAACCAAAAATGTAATAATACACAGGGTCTTTCATTTAAAAAAATGCAACTTTGATATTTTTTATTTATTTGGGACACTCTGTATCTTGTAAAATTATTTTTAAATTGTACCTCTAATAGTCCTTCATCGAACCCAAGACTTACAATTTGTAAAAATCTCATCGTTTAGCTACAATACTCCGTGTCGTATGTGGTGAACAACCCTGTATATAAAATGCTAATGTTTATCTGTGTCGTCTTTACTGAATTAACGACTTGCTCTAGAAAGTTGCTTCGTCGTCGCCGGAAACTGTCGTCGCCGGATTATTTTGTTTTTCATTTAATTTAAAAAAATTTTTTTTTACTTATGTCGTGGCGGATGCGCCAAGCTTCAACTAGTCTCGGGATAAACGCCTATAATCCCGGGATCCCGGAATTGACACTCAGAATGAGAAATCTAACGAAATACTTTATAAAAATGGAGCTGCATATATCAAAAAGAAAATGAGAAAAGAGTTTTATTAGAATATATAAAACTAAGTAACATACATACAGGGTCGGGTTTATGTATGGAATGGTCGATTATTAGGTAAAATATAGGAGATACCGCAAAAAGTTAAATACAAAAGTTATAGGGTTTTTAAATATCTATTAGCGAGTAATAAATTTAAGTATACAGGGTCGGTCATAAAGTCGTGGCACATCAAAGTTTAATTTTTTTAAATAGAACCCCCTGTATATTATTACATATTTCAATTCTTCCTTCAATTCTAAGCAAAAATCGAAATACACACAATGTATATACTTCAAACCAATCGTTTCCGAGTTATTGACTTTTGAAAATATCACTTAAACAATTCAATTTAACTAATTTCGATGTGTTCGGTTTGATTTAATGACGCCATTCTGCCGAAACTGTGATACTGTTGTAATGGGGTTTTAAATTCCTATTAGCTACTAGTAATTTAAGTATACAGGATCGGTCATAAAGTTGTGTCACATGAAGCTTTATTTTTTTTTAAATGAAACCCCCTGTATATTATTGCATATTTCAATTTCTTCCTTCAATTTTAAGCAATAAGCAATACACAATGTACATAAATTGAAGAATTGAAATGTTAAATGAAAATTTTGTAATTTCCAGACTTGATATACTTTCATTTTATACAGGGTGAGTCTTAAATAAGTGCAAATATTTTCAGGGCTGGTAGATATCGACAAAAGAAACATATTTTCTCTTTACAATTTTTCAGATAAGTCCAAAACAACCGAGCTATTTAAGTTTGAAAATTAAAAAAAAATTGATTTTGTTTTAAAAAAAATTGAGAGCCACCGGATTTTTTCTGTAATTGCATCCCTTTTAGTGCCGTAAGCATAGAGTAAAGCCGTAACTAGGGTAATATAGTCTATAAAATGAATAACTTTGAATTTTGACCGTTATTTTTTACCAACATGGCAAATATAAAATCCCTCTGTCAAAAAAGTTACTAATTTTATTTAAAAAATGTAAAACTATGATGTAGGGTAGACGGGGTAGACTCAATAATTTGTTGTTTTATTTTATGTTGTGAATAAATGTTGGTAGTTATTAAAATTTTTATAAAAATATATAATTCTAATAAAAATAGATAAGTTATAATAAGTATTTATTAACACAAACATCCGATACGCTACTGAAGCAGGTAAGTCAAATTAACGTATCTAAATTCTTTGACATCTAATCTTTGACAAGTAATAAATAAAAGCTAAAATGCAAGAAAAATATATAATTTAGTTAATTTAAGTGAATTTCATAAATGATCGGTTTACTACACGTATGTATATTATATAGACACTTACTAGCGAAAAGTTGTTGCATTATTTCACTCAATTTTTGCCGAGATCTACCGCACGCTACACAATCAACTATTTTAGAGTCTTTTTCGATAAATCGCGATAGTTTCACTGTTAATTTAAGTTCTGCCACAATTTCCATCTAGATTTACTACCTTTATACAACTATCAGTAGTAGAATAAATAATAAATAACATAAAATAAGCTCTGTAAAGACTGACAAATCCACAAAATTTCAAATCAAATTCAAATGTGTCAAATGAATCGTCAAACCGAACTGTCAAGGATCCCCACCCTAGAGTGCTTTTATGGTGCTTTTTCCGCCCACCATGCATGAATACATGGATAGCATCCTGCTCCTTCCTTAGTCTTCTTATTCAAAGGCATAGAGTAAAGCCGTAACTACGGTAATATAGTCTATAAAATGAATAACTTTGAATTTTGACCGTTATTTTTTACCAACATGGCAAATATAAAATCCCTCTGTCAAAAAAGTTACTGATATTCTTTAAATTGAGTGCCTGAACGAATCAGATAGGTAACTCTTTTTACTTTCGTGAAATAGAAAAGAAAAATAATAAAACAAGTGACAGTTCTTCCTCTTCTTGCAAAAATCAACACGAAAACAACAAAAAAAAAATTGACAAAAGTAAAATGTCATCAGCTTTTGACATTTCTAAATATTAGACCAATGCCGTCTGTAATACAACAGCCACGGAGCGAGATTTATGACGTCACGCTAGTTAGATACTACGGATTAATAAATATGTTATAGAATACATGGAAAACATAATTATTCCGCGTATTTTTGGTTTGTATTTTAAAAATGATATTGTTTACATGAAATATACATAATATACAGTTAATAAATACAATATAATATATACATATTTATAGTAATAAATACTTTGGCAAATAAACTATGAACCATACAAATGCAGCAAA